TATATATTGTAGTTTTATAGTTTTACTTTCATTTGGTTGTTTTAAAGTTGTATCAACATGATAATTACTAGTTGACTTTATTAAACAGATTTTTATTAATATGGGCAGACACTTTTCATTTGAGAGATGTAAATTAATTTTAGTATTGTTCAATGTAAATGCTAATTATATTTAGGAACTAAATGTATTCATGTTTTACTAGCAGAACTGTGGCGGCAACAAACTGGTTTGGGGCACGAACATCGTTAGTAATCGAAAAAAAAAATTATAAAACGACCACGCGATGACGTAATTACGTCGTCATGTAAAAGAATCAATGACTCGTTTCGAACCGATTCTTCGAAATAAAATGCCCAAAAGAACCGAATCGCACAAATCAGTCGGACTTCCCACCACTAAACACACCGCCCCTCATTCCAGGCGACCACAAATCAACTTCATTTCATTATAGTGCCGAGACGCTCCTCGCTCCCAGCGGCCCCTGGCCATTGCAGCGATAATATCCGTGGATAACCCGAAGCCGTTAATATGTTTGCATACTGAATGTGTTTTTTTTTCACGCTCAATCCAGTGACGTAAGTTCTATTATGCTTTTATATTGAGAGAGAGCAATATTCGTCGGCCGTACAACTCCTCCAAACCTGCAGAAAGACACACAGGGCTCGTGTTGTTAGAGAAACGGAGTGGAGTCCCACACGCTGGAGAGGTAAGAAGGACTTTTTATCATGACCAAAATTCATTTAGTATAAAAACACGTTTTAGTAAAAACAAGAACAATACTCCTAAAAGTACAGCAGACACCTAACGTTATATTGAAGGTAGTTTCTTTACAGCGAAGCTGCTTACACGCCTCGATAGACGGGCTCATATGGTAAAAAAGGAAAGGGTTGTCTGTTGTTCGCATTTATTTTGATAAAAACGCGACAGTTTTTACATTTAACATACATTTTTTATTGAGTTTATGTTAAAATCAATAAAAAGGATAAAATAAAAATCATATTTTAGCGCAGGGCATTTGTGATAGTAAAATCCTCTTTCTGCAAGAAGCCGGTTAGGTTTTTTTTTTTTTTTTTTTTTAGGTGGAAGGTGTTTTTTTGCTGTTTTTGCAAGTTAAATGTAAAAATACTGAGGTGTCAGGCATATAAACCAAATCAATAACATAATTACTTATAAATCACTTTTTATGTTGACAATCTTGAAATAACCGCAGCCTGTGACTGGGCACAGGCACTACAAAATATATCTTAAAACTAAAACTACATCAATAAGGGATTTACTGTTTTAAAGTTATTGAATTCCAGTTATTAAACTATCAATATTTAATTTTTTCATACATTTATTTTTTTAATTGTTATTTATGGTTGCATTTAGACTGAAAGCATGGAACATAATTCGGTTCTGAACAAGTTAATATTGTGTTTCTGAGATTATAATGTTCCGTTTTCTTTTGCAATGAATACATAGTTACATTGAAGATCCCCCTGGGTAATACACTATAATAAAGCATCTTTTATTTACTACCAGTATAATATGGCAGTGCTTTTGATCATGCATTGTGCACTTTGAAAACATTTTCCACGCATTGAGATCTCCAGTAAGATTTTTCATGTTTGAATAAACTGTCACCCCATTCATGAATAATTCATGTTAGCCTGTTCATATCAAATGTGACATCTGATGCTTTTTCTCCCACAGATGTACATCTTATAAATGCATGGCAACCACAGTCGTACCTACACTGGATAGTGGACACATGCACTGAAAAGACCTGGATCTGGAACAGCTAAATGGAGAAGCACACCCTATCTGTGCAATTTAAGTCTGGTGTCAAGCAACAGATAATTAATGAGAGAATGGCGGAGCTCAGATTTTCTTGATACAACTCATTCTTTGCAAGTCACAGCACAGACGGACACGCCATGGATCTCCTTTGGGTTCTGTACTCCATGCTGACTGTATGTATGGCCATCAATATGGAAGCTACCAGGAGCCATAGCATGTTTACCTGTGAGCCTATCACATTAAGGATGTGCCAGGGCCTCGCCTACAATACCACCTTCATGCCCAACCTTCTGAATCACTATGATCAGCAGACCGCTGCTCTCGCCATGGAGGTAAACCACATTACACAGACTGAATGCTTAAATGATGTGATCAAATTGCATTACATTAACCTAGGACTAGTTTAATCATCATGCTCTAATAACTGCATGACCTCAACAGCAGTCATATATATATATATATATATATATATATATATATACAGTATGTGT